GGTTCCCTCTTCAGAGGTCCCTACATCAATTAGTTCTCACTGCTGGAACTGCCCCGTGTGAAGATAACCGTCTGAGAATTCGCAGCCGTGCCGAAACACCACTCCTTGGACTTCAACGCCGCGACTCAACTTTACGGTTGCGTTCGTCCTGGTGTTCTTGCATCGTGCCAGAACGTATTCTTTGGGTCTTTTACACAGCGAATCAACGTGACTGTCCCGCACCGACAGCCCCCTTTCGTGCCGGAGCACGACTCCTGGGACGTCAACAAGAATATCATGCGAACGTGCTGTAAACTTGTAAGACGATTGTGCGCGGCGCCAGAGCCAGAACCTCATTTTGAGCAAGAGCCTCCCTCCAGATGCGAATCGCCTGTACATGTCTGAGGCGACTGCGCGCGGCGCAAAGGCGATGGTCATATGTTGAAGACGGCCCGCCCTCGACCCTCGAAGTTCGTAACAACGTTTGTTGGCGAATGTGCGCGGCGCCAAGGCGAGAGCCACATCTTCAAAAGCAGCTGCCCTTCGGCCGCTGTCTCGGGGTGCGACAGGGGGAAGTTGTTTATAAGGAAAAGAGATGGGGAAGTGCTGAGGGCAGAGAAGGGACAGGTGGGAAACGAAGCTGAGAAGGGGAAGAGGAGGGGGAGGAGCATGAACAGGAGTGGGGCGAGGTAGATGGATAATGAGTTGGAGGAGGAGGCGGACTAGAAGGGATCAAGATGAGGCGAGGGGAAGCGAGGAATGGAGATGAGGGAGAGGAGTGAAGGGTAAGGAGGATAAGGAGGAGGAGAAGGAGGAGGAAGAGGAGGAGGAGGAAAGAAAGGCGGGGGGGCAGCGAGGGACAGCGAGGGAGGGACGGATGGTGAGGAGTGGAGGAGCGGATGGTGATGATGATGCTGATGATGACGATGATGACGATGATGATGATGATGATGATGGTGATGATGATGATAATGATGATGATGATGATGATGATGATGATGATGATGATGATGATGATGATGATGAGATGATGATGATGATGATGATGATGATGATGATGATGATGATGATGATGATGATGATGATGATGATGATGATGCTGATGCTGATGCTGATGCTGATGCTGATGCTGATGCTGATGCTGATGATGCTGCTGATGATGATGATGATGAGGAGGAGGAGGAGGAGGAGAAGGAGGAGTGCTGAGGGCAGACACGGGGGACGGTGGGAGATGGAGTTGAGAGGGGGAAGAGAATGGGGGAGGAGCGTTAGCAGGAGTGGGGCGATGTAGAGGGAGAATGAGCGGGATGATGATGGTGATGATGATGGTGATGATGATGGTGATGATGATGATGATGATGATGATGGTGATGATGATGCTGATGATGATGTTGATGATGACGCCGATGATGCTGATGATGGTGATGATGAAGAGGAGGAGAAGGAGGAGGAGGATGAGGAGGAGGAGGAGGAGGTGGAGAAGAATAATCAGAAGAAGCAGAAGAAGAAGAAGACGAACACGAAGACGACAAAGAGGAGGAGGAGGAGGAGGAGGAGGAGGAGGAGACGTGGAGGGGGGAGGAGGAGGATCAGTAGACGGAGGAGGAGGCGGAGGAGGAGAAGGCGGTGGAGGAGGAGGGGGTGGAGGGGGAGGAGGAGCGGAGAAAGAGATGAGGCGGAGAAGAAAGTGCAATAATGAGGAGGATGATATGGGAGAGAGCAGGAGGAGGAGGAGGAGAGAGGAGGAGGAGGAGGAGGCGAGGACGTACAAGGAGGAGGAGGGACATGGAGTCGGAGGAGGAGGAGGAGGGTGAGGAGGAGGAGAGGAGGAGGAGGAGGAGGGGGGAGGAGGAGGATGAGGAGGAGGAGGAACGAGAGGCGAGGGGCAGCGAGGGACAGCGAGGGAGGGGGATGGAGCGGAGGAGGAGGAGGATGAGGAGGAGGAGGATGAGGAGGAGGTGGAGGGGGAGGAGGAGTAGACCTGAGGCGGAGGAGGAGAAGGAGGAGGAAGAGGAGGAAGAGGAGGAGGAGGAGGAGGAGCGGAAGGAAGAGGATTAGGAGGAGAAGGTAGATGAGGAGCAGCGGGAGGAGGAGAAAGAGGAGGAGGAGACGTAGAAGGAGGAGGATGACTATTCCAAGATAATGATGATACTGCTGATGATGATGATGGTGGTGATGATGATGCTGATGCTGATGATACTGATAGTGATGATGCTGATGCTGCTGTTGCTGATGATGCAGCTGGTGTTTATGATGACGATGCTGATGATGCTGATGTTGATGATGACGCTGATGCGGATGATGCTGATGCTGTTGGTACTGCTGCGGCTGATGATTATGATGCTGATGATGCTGATGGCGCTGACGACGATGATGATGTTGATGCTGATGATGATGCTGATGATGTTGATGATGATGATGCTGATGATGATGGTGTCGATGGTGAGGTTGATGACGTTGATGCTGCTGATGATGATGCTGGTGATGATGATGCTTATGATGACGATGCTGCTGATGATGC